GGAACTGGCTTGTGCAACCAAGTAGTTCCTGCGCATTTCGGCATCTTCTCCACAGCCCGTATTTTATTGTGCGAAGAAGCAAAAAGGTAAGAAACAAAACAGCTCTCAGCAGTATTTCTGCATTTATCACGTTCCGACAGAAAAAATACTCTCAACGAGTTCATCCAGCGATTGCTTTTGCACTTATCCAAGCTCAAGAAGAAGCACTGCACGTGTTTCGAGAAAACTTGCATGTTTAACGCTTGATATTGTTGAAAAGACTCATCATGCGATCATCAAATATGTAGCCCTTTCTCGCCAACGAACGATGTCCATTGTTGTGCCTGAGTGCCTTTAGAGTATCGTGTGATACTTTATGTTATATTGACCACTCCAATGAGAAAGATAGTAACGACTTCATGAGCCTATAAGAATTCGCAATATAGGCAAGCACTGATTTAAGTGTGGGGAACATCAAGTCTCTAACACATGTACACTATATGTGCAGCGCTTACAATCCCCTTTACCCACAGGGATCCTGTAATTGCTCGTAGAGAGAAGGGAGTACTAAGTAAATGTATGTATGTATGTATGTATGTATGTATGTATGTATGTATGTATGTATGTACGTATGAATGTATGTGTATGTACGTGTGTATGTATGTATGTATGTATGTATGTATGTATGTATGTATGTATGTATGTATGTATGTATGTATGTATGTATGTATGTATGTATGTATGTATGTATGTATGTATGTATGTATGTATGTATGTATGTATGTATGTATGTATGTATGTATGTATGTATGTATGTATGAGACAATGCTTTGTGTCAGGAGTGGCGAGTACGTTTCCTAGAGCATCAACCGAACCCTTGCAACTGGCCACAGTTAGGCATTTTGATACAGACGGCGTATGAACGAGGCGAAAAGCTCAACTTCTTGACGAAACCAGGATTGCTTCATTTCACGCCTGCCTGAACGTTAAGTGCTGTATTAAGTACGGCGTTATACGTTCTCAGTCTTCCCTATTGGCGCAACTTATGAAGGAAGCTTTGGTACAGTATTTAGATATCCGGAGATAAATGTCCCGCTGTCTCGGACTTCCACATTGCTGTACGGTTTTATCCTGACGACACCCTGGCCCCATCATAACGGCGCTACGATTGGGCAAAGCGTGGTTCATGGCAACCACATTTTTTTTTTCGTGATGAGTGCCCACCTATATATAAAGATATATCGACAAAGAAAAATAAAGCCTCGAGAGCGCGTCACGCCGCATTCCGAGCGAGGTGTGAAAGAGAACGTAGGCGCCCTCTACGCCAGCACACTCCGATTACCTCTGGGTCTCGGAACAATTTTACGGCTGGCCACTTTCAGTGGACGCCCGTAGGCTACATCCATCCAGTTGTCTCTTCCTCGGCGAATGAGTGCGAGAAGGATAGTGAGTTGGTGAGTGAGGACTACACAGATTGCTGCCTCTTCCTTTGCGAATGAATTAGAAAGAGTCGAAGTGGGAGCGAGGGTCCAAGTGAGAGGGAGAGTGAAAGCCACTCGAAGAATGTCCCTTTTGAGAGGAGGCCTCCAGGTGGTGGTTCCACTCCAGAGGAGAAGAGTTGTTCTCACTGTGCGCTTCGTTAGTTTCCTTGCAGTCCGTGGTGTGTATGTGCTGATAGGAAAGACCAGACTGTGACAAAATGATCTACTCTGTTGTCGCAATCTCTCTACCTCTTTTTCCCCTCCACCTTCTCCCTCTTTCTCCTCGAAATTTCAGCACACTCTATGGAACGCGAGTGCTGGAGCGACCAAACGTGGCTACACCGCTAATGAAACTCGTTGCTTCAGCTTCGTACAGCCAAAGCTACTGCTCGAATGCGCTACAATCAGTTTGATGTCTGGAGATACTGTTTAAAGCTCTGCAAACTTCGCACGAAGCTCGCCGTTTAATCTTCGGTCCACTGAAGTGAGTTCCTGGTTTAAACACTTCAACCAAACAAGCGTTTCGATTGCTAACGTGTTCCTACATGACTGAGTGTGCACCCCATGGACGTTAACGCTGTCACAAAGCACTGTGATTAATCTAGAATTTTAGGTATAGCTATATAAGCACAAAATTTTCTAGGAGACTGTAGGTGCTTTTCTTTAGGGAAAACTATAAAGCGTGCAATACGTTTTAAAAAAAGCGTAGAAAAGCAGAAAGATGTAAAACCAATAAACCCGACCCACGGCAACGTTGCGGTTTGAAAAAAAAAAGTTTCGTTTTGCATACACTGAACTAAAGTTTCAGATTTACAAGTCATAACAAACCAGTGCCAAAAATAGACGGTTAGTGACTGACTTCTTCACATGAAATTGAATCAACGTATCAGAGAATCCAAAGAACATGATTGGTTGGATAACGAAGGTGACGTACCTGCTTCAGGCTGCTCTCGCAAAATCCGTCGAGCTTGCCTTTCTCTTCTTCCAGGCTCTGCATTTGCTGGCGGGGAAGACGAAAACAGAACCAGGTGACTGAGAAAACATCCCGCCATTTACATCGCAGGGTCGAAAGTTGAGCAAACTGGTTAAATGATAACGCAATCGGTGTCGCGCGGGGGCGCAAGTGCGCCGGACACCACCTTGCCATCAGTTCAGCCGTAGTGGCTGCTACCACTCGACAAACTGTGAGTAATGAACATTCAATTAAAACATGGCTTTGGTTTAGAATTATAAATTGTTCTTTGAGAACACCAATGTCGTTTAAATTGCCATTATATGTTTATTCATTTATTAAAAGGGGATAAAATTAGGATTTAACTTTCATTTGTAAATTTGATGTCGAAATTTTACACGTTATGTATTCTCGGGGGCAGTATCGCTATAAGCGTGGTATCTTTAGGAGTCCAGTAAGCTGGGCTAGTTGGTATTCATTCATTATGCTACAGAGCAAAAGTATATCACCCTTCAACACAGCAATATTCCACTCCGTGACTTGCAATTAACTGCGCAGGAGCTAAGACGGCCCTAATGTTTTAAGCTTTCAAGACTGCATTATGATGTCGCGATCAAGTGTGCGCAAGTGCACAGGTTCGGCCTCCCCTCTATAAATCCATTACCTGAATTAAAAAAAAAATAAGTTGATAGTTATCCTTGTGTCATGTCATAAGTGCACCTTGGTAAGCTTTCTCATTCTTTTCGCGCTGCCACTCAATGAGGGGCATTTTTGTAATCATAACAGAGTAATCTACTAAAGCTAGACAAAACGCACTTCTCTTTCGCTCTCATTTTATATTCCAAAACGATGGTTATGGTGGGATAGAGAAAAGCGGTTAGCGTAGAAGGATGCAGAGATTCACTGGCTGCCGTGCTTTTACGTCTTATATGCCCTAGCAAAATTATCTGCGTACTTCGTACCTGACACCGTTCATTTGAAACATTGACACACTCAAAGCGCATGAGATCCAATCTGTGCATATAGGATTCTACGTGAACAAAAAAGGTCTTGCTGCCGCCACAAGTAATCCTAAATTAAACGTCAGTGTCGACGACGTCTGTGCATTCAAGCACGACATTTTTCGGCAGAGACGGTACTAACAAGGCGCGAACGAGGCGTTGTTGCGGAAGTGCCCGTGAATACAAAAAAGGCTGCACTGTACACACCTTGATCTCTTTGTCAACGTTGGAGCCTCGGTTTCCGGCACGACTTTTCTTGCGCTGCTTCTTGACGAGAGAGGCGATCTTGAGGTAGGACTCGTGGTGCGTCTTCTGCTGTTGCATGAATCGCTTCTGCTCGCTCTGCGAGTTCGGGAGGGGTTAGATAGCTTTAGGGATGAATACAGATGACTGTACAGGCACTACAGACAGATAGGTGGAGCCAGACAGGTGTTAAAATCTATCTATCAATCTATCTATCTATCTATCTATCTATCTATCTATCTATCTGTCTATCTATCTATCTATCTATCTATCTATCTATCTATCTATCTATCTATCTATCTATCTGTCTCTCTCTCTCTCTCTCTATCTATATATCTATCTATCTATCTATCTATCTATCTATCTATCTGTCTGTCTGTCTGTCTGTCTGTCTGTCTGTCTGTCTGTCTGTCTGTCTGTCTGTCAGACAGACAGACAGACAGACAGACAGACAGACAGACAGACAGACAGACAGACAGACAGACAGACAGACAGACAGACAGACAGATAGATAGATAGATAGATAGATAGATAGATAGATAGATAGATAGATAGATAGATAGATAGATAGATAGATAGATAGATAGATAGATAGATAGATAGATAGATAGATAGATAGATAGATAGATAGATAGATAGATAGATAGATAGATAGATAGATAGATAGATAGATAGATAGATAGATAGATAGATAGATAGATAGATAGATAGATAGATAGATAGATAGATAGATAGATAGATAGATAGATCATTATCAGCCTAATAGATTTAAAGATTTATTCTCTGTGGAATCTTCTCAACTAGCCCTGCTTTGAAGCCTCGCTTATCAAGAGGGGTACTCACAGCCACCACCTTGGCGTCCTTCTCGATGTTGGACTCAAGCGGTACAATCACGTCTACGTAGAAGGCCTTGAGCTGCGTGGTCAGAAAATGGAGATACAAAGTAAACTGAGTAGGCGAGCCTAAACCTACACTTAAATGTCCAGTAGTAGCACTCCCGCGCAGGTATTCGCCTGCTCTGGCCGATTACTTAAGTTATCCTAATGAGAGCTAACATACAATAGCGCCACGGAAAGTATGCAGAATGTTACCAGTAGTAACCATAGTAATGACCAAGACTTAGGTATACGTGCACGTAGCACCACCTCTCGTCGGTGACAATGGTTACCTTCCATAACTCAATGGGAAATGCCAGAAACGAAATCTTATCTACGAAAAAATCAATGTTTATCAAGAATGACTCCTGCTTCTAGAGAGCTGACAAATGTTTTGTTAAAATGATAGCGTAATGGCGCTTACGTGAAAGTTTGAGTATGTTATAGGTGGGTGCCGTGTGTTTTTAGTCACTGGTGGATAATTCATCTTAGAGGTCACACGCTTCGAAGTGTGACGATGCAAACTTTAATAAAGTGTTCCATAAGGTCAGTGCTCTACAGATCTTGATGCCATTTTCGGTGAGCAGCTTTTTTTTTAAGAAATGTAAACTTTTATCGCTATTTAGCATTCAGTTAAGGGAAGACACCATTTCTGCAGCCTAGAAATGGCGCCAGGTAGATGTGTTCTCAAATACTGGGAATGAAAAATGTGAAAAAGGTAAACTGGTCGAAAAGGGAATTCGCCGCCGGCAGCTATACCGCGCCTGAAACGTTCGATGTTCTACTAATTGAGTAACGGCAAGTGCCATCCCCCCTCCCCCTAACTTCAATGGGAATATCTGTCCTGTAAATCTAGGAGTGTTTGTGAGCGCCTATGTAGCCATTGTGAAATGGGAATTTTTTTTTCTGCCTGCAGGCAGAAAAAAACCTTCTTTATTTTCATGCGCCACCATAGCGAAATACAGATAAGAGTGCAAAACCCCGACCTCACAGAGGTAGTGGGTGCGTGACATTCCCGACCATGTATAATCCCACCACCTTTCACTTCTGTGAGGCCACGCAAAAAAAAAAAAAAACTAGCGCGTGATAAAGGTCGGCTCCGCCAGGTGCCTCTACGATCCCAGCTTATCCAAATCATTCGATGAACTCAATTAAATATTTTCTTTAATTGTTTTGTAGTAACTAGTCCAGGAGCCTTCTGGCTTCGACTGCCCTCTTGGCCCTGGTGACCCCTTCCCCCTTAGGGTGATACCGGGCCTTGCTCGGAACGCTGTTTTTACATTAACATTTCTCTCTCTCTCTCTCTCTCTCTCTCTCTCTCTCTCTCTGGGAACTAACAAACAAACCTATATATACATGAGTTCAAGCCTTCGCACGATCTGTTGTCACCATTACCCCACTGCATTGTCGTTTGTCGGTACACAGCGCAAAAAGAAATCGATGAACTAGCCCAAATCTGATTAACTATCTCCAATCTGTTAACCTATCCCGAGCTCGATGAACGAGCCAAATTCTGTCATCTAGTTCAATCCAATGAACGTGCCAATTTTTCACTCTTTTTATTTTATTTCGCGCCCACTTCAAGCCAGTAACACATCACCAGGGTGCTTCGATAGGCTGACGCGAAAGCGCCCACGCACGTGTCGGAGCATTTTCAAGATGCGACGCATTACAAGTTGACGCGAAGAGAGCGGCGAAGGTGGCACGGTGCGTAAGTAAAAGAAAACCACTAAGAAGCACTCGTTACGGCAATCATCATCCATCATTCAGAACCTGGGGAGCAAAACGAGCTAACGCGCTTGCGTGGCACAACACTCGGGCGTCCCAGTGACGGGTTATACCCTGCAAGCGCATTTTCTTTATCATCATTTGACTTGCTTATGTCGGGCGCTTTTCAAGTCCTAATATTGCGATGCCGACAGCTCTATACCGTCAGCTCCACCTGTTCAGCCGGAATACAGTACATCGCCCGCAAAAGTGAAGAACCGAGGCCGCTTAGGCATTTGGAAGAGTGGACATTGCTTGAACAACTTCAAGTGAAAAATAATTCTCCAACCCTACGCTCCTTTTCGAATCCTCGCATTGGTTGAACCATAGCATTTTTTTTTGTTTGTGGCCTCAAGTATCGTCCGTGTTGCTTTGACAGTGGCGTCTGTTCTTATACTTTCAACCGCACCATACAATAGCAATCAAAACAGTCCATTCCATCCCGGTGGAACGCGGGTGCTTACACCCGAATCGCAGTGCATGTCGTGTGATGTTCAGGGTCATAGTTTCAAGAAACTTACTATATACCGTAGAAATCAGGTCGTTATAATAATTATTCATGATTTAGGAAGGCGCGACTTAAAGGGCGCACCAGAAAAGAGGCACATAGAACGTCTTCTTTTTTTCTGGTGTGCTGTGTCGGGGGTGGGAGGAGAGGAGCTCGCTGTAAAAGACACTTCGTATTTTGAGTGTAAAGCCGCGGTCGCGATCGCTGGCGTGCGTTATCTCGACAAACATCGATAGACGGCTCGTACACCCTTTCAGGGTATACGCTCTGAACAAAACAAAAAAACGATAATAATAAGACCATGCGGAAGGCGCTTCGCTCTCTGGAGTGGTCATGGTGTTTTACGCCAGCGTTTTGTGGAGTTACGCAAGATCGCATCCAAAAGAGTTAGCTGGCAGCCTCACTTCGTATAACGTTACAATTTGATGTTGGCAGATTCAATGCTTCGTCCTTGAGGTGAAACCGCGTTTTCGTCCTACTATAAAGATTATTTGATAGTTTTCCAATCAGAACTTTCAACTTTTACAAATCGCTCATAGTTTAGTTAGAGGTGTGAGGGCGTTAGTTGTGTGCTTCTCATACCTAACACAGTAGAACATCGCGAACCGACTCATGCGGGCCACGCACTCGATATTGCCTAACGCACGATAGCATAACGAGACGGGTAACTTCATCCGCGCTGCACCGTACTAGAGGGAAAACGCTAATCCTCTCCTGGCGTGCTGTAGCGTAAAACCATACTCAGAGTGTTAGTATGGCGAATTTTTCGGATACCTTACGTATGTGCAGCCAACGGCGAATAAGCAAAACGCACTCGTACGCATGATCCAGCGTACCTGGACTACGGAAAAAAAAAAATGCGAGGCCCTGTTTGTTGCATAATGAGGCGAGGGGAGATCTGTCGCCGGATATGACTAATTAAGACGAGCCGAGCTTCGCATCAACCCCTCTCCTCTTCTGTCCGATTATCCTCTCCAGTCGGCGCCCGCGACACATTCGTATTGATCGAAGCTTTGGCCTGATGAAGGGAGCAGTAGCTGAGCTAGCACGAGTACAGCCGTTGACGCTGACATGAAAATGAGCTATGGCGTGAGGTGGGTGACCACGGGGCACCCCAGAAATAGTTAGTGCCGACTCCTTCACTTCTCGAACTCTCTGCAGACAACAATAAAAAGGGGAGTCATAGTTTTTCCGCAAGGGCGAAGCAATAAATCTTATAGGAGCAAATAGGAAGGTCACGCAAACAACTTCCAGCACCTCGAAACACAAATTACTTATACGTAAAATACACGCACAGGAAAGTGCGAACAACTATTACACTTGTTACCTGGAGTTAGAGCAGCTTGCTTGTCTTGTCTTGTCGCCTAGAAGATCTTGGCTCATACGCACGAAGAGATTGCCCACACTGTACCTTATAATAGATATTTTTTTGTACAACGCTTGCTAAAAAAAGAGAGAAATTCCTTTTGCAAACATGGTCCCTTCAGAGAACGAAGTGATCTTCGAACGCTCTGTAACTTCAGCACAACTTTTTCGGGGAAAATACAGTACATACAAAACTGAACCAGTACGACATAATGCACTCGTGCGAACGACAAAGCCTTGAAAGCAATGTTCAGGAGGTAGTGGTGACTTTTTGCGTCTGAAATATTTTTATTTGTGGTTTACACAGATATATACGCATGTATACTCATACGGAACATAACAGCGATGAAAAAAAAAAAAGCCGAGAGTGTCCATATAATTACTATCGTAAAGGAATCGGTAGGTCTACCAATCGCTCCACTGAATTTCAATCACGATATTACTGCTGTTGTAACAGTAGACAGCCGAGATTGAACTTTATTTAGCCAACAATTGAAAATTACTCATAATTAATCTATATGGGGCAAAATTTTCTGGCATTCTGACACCTGAGTCACGCGAAGCTTGGGCGTGTAAAGTGTGCAAGAACGTGATGACGTGATGCCACTGCTTCACTCTTCGCGTCACTGCTGGCTTTCACGTTACCCATACAAAATTATTATGTTTCTTCGATCCTCGCGATGCTTCCGAAGAAGCATTTTCAGATTGAAGGAATAAATGCTGGTGGTTAGACAGTTTGTTACGAAATCGAGTAAGCAAATACAAAAGACACCATGCACTGTTGTTGTTTTTTGCATACGTAAAAAGTAAATACGTAAATTTTTTGCTTACGTAAAAAAGTAGCCTATGCTACTAAGCAGGGCTTTGGACGAGTCGGTATATTTTTAGCTGAGAAAAACAGCCCAAATAAAGACGAGGACCCAGAAACACAGCACACATATGAACGCTGAACATACAACTGAAATCTTTATCACACCGACATCGCAGCAAACCGCGCACACCCTTCCTATATCAACTTGCTAAACGAAAGCATCCGGTAGCCAAACTGCACGATCACTGAAATCTATCACGTGTACATGAATTGTAGCACGCGCGCATCTTGGACTCTAAAATAAAATGAACACAATTGAAAAGTGATCAGCGGTGGCTTAACAACAGATTTCGTTGCAATCATTTTCTTGCCACGCTTTCTTGTTAAGAGGTGGCTTTATCATTTTTCACTGCTGTTCCTTTTATTTTAGAGTGCGCCCGATGCAATTAATGTACACGTGATAGATTACAGTGACCATGCCGTTTGCCTGCCTGGTGATTTTGTTTGGCAGGTTGATAGGAGAGGTGTGCGCAGTTTGGTGCAATGTAAATTGAGTGGTCAGTGTAATAAACGTTTTAGTTGTCAGTTCACCGCTCGTGTGTGTACTGCGTTTCTGTGTCATTGTCTTGTTTTTCCCAGCTATTTGCTTCTAACACTGCACACAACTTCCGCGATTTCTATGTGTATATGTACAGAGAGTGCACGAATGTAATTTGCTCAACGCTGGTGCAAATTTAGCCCGGGCTTCTGTAGGGGGCATGCAAGCTAGTAGTATTAAGGAGCAATGCTAGAGCGTGCATAGGGAGGGGGCAATAGGCGGGGAATCCCCCGCAGGACTCATTTCTTCCTCCCGATCCCCGAGAGTTAATCTACACGTAGATGATACGAAATGGTATTTTGGGGCATTTTTTTTTTTACTTACCACGTTCATCTGCTGATTCTCTATCTCTTTCTGTACATCTACCAGCTGCATCAGAGCTGTACCTGCGAAAACATAAGGCGAAAGTCACAGCTTTGCCGCGAAGGCCAAACAATGAACGTGACAGATACAAATTCAAAGGTCGCGCGCAGAATGGCAAGCAGATCGAAACGTGCCCCACGTTTCTCGCGCACAAAGGACGCACGAAATGTACTCACAGTATACGGATTTACGCGAATGAGCGTCTCAGTTGTTACTTCCATAGAGTTTCCCACAATACTTGCTAGAGGAAACTCTGGCGCTAGTGTCTATGGGAGTTGCATCACACGGCACTTCAACGAGCATGGGAATGATGGGTAGTACACACATTTGACTAATTTTCGTACTTCTGGCCTGCTTCTGGCTCCGTGTGTGTTCGTGTGGCTTGGAGCTGTTTTTTCACGAAAACATAAATTAGCAAATGTTCACCGTTTGCGCTTCACAACCTTATTCTTTTAAGCTTACTATTTTGAATCAAGTCCCTAAGTTCAAAAGGGTTCGTTCTTTTTCTCAAAACAAAACCGTAACCACTAATAAACGAAGCCGCGAGTACGATTCGCCGCCCGCAAAAACGAAGACTAGGCAAATATGTGTACTACCCATCAATCCCATGGTCGCTGAACGATCGCAGCACCAGAGTGCCCTCTAGTTAATTTTGGGAAACTTTATGGTTACTTCGCTGTGTCTGTAAAGCACGCCTTTTTCGCAAATGGAGGCTGTGCAACGATTGCAATGACCTTTGTGGGCCCGGTAACTACAACAGAATGGTTCCGACGAAACTCAAAGGCTAGCCAAAGACGTACGATCCTTCCCATTGCTAGATAAAGGCGCGCGATTGAGCCTACACCCCCTTATTCTCTACGCGGGCCAAAGTACTCGTGAGAGATGAGAGCCGCCACGCGCTAAGTGCGCCATCTGGCTGATAATGCTGAAAACACAATAGTCCCCCCCCCCCCCCCCCCGAGATGCCCGCCGACAGCGGTAAGTGGTAGATATAAATATCTTGCCGCTTGAACGATGAAGGAGGTACCTCTCGGTGGCTCAGAGGTTAACGCCTCGCATTCACGACGTGGAGGTCACACGTTCGATTTAGCACACCTGATTCTTCTTTCTGTGATTTGTTTCTTGGGTTTTCATATATATAAATATGTATACATATACGGTGCATGCCATCGACGCCGGCGGGGAAATCCAGACGAAAGTGTCCATATAATTTCTATCGCAATAAAAAGATATGCACATCACAAAAGACGGGCTCGTAAAAAACAAACAGAACACAGAAAGCAGAAAGAAAAATAAAACGACGCGCGCAAAGGCCAAACCGCCACTTCCGTAAGTAAGTCTTTCTGGAGCGCCATGCACTATAGAACACAAAATCACAATTTATAACAGAAGTTTGGCACTCGCCACCTACCGTGTACCTGAAGAAAAGTTTAAAGTGGCAATATATATATATATATATATATATATATATATATATATATATATATATATATATATATATAGTTTTGATGGCGCCACTTTACCGGACCAAGAATCTGATGAACACTTTGTCGAGACGTAGTGTAATTGGTATAGAAAGATTTCTTGAGTAACGACTTCATTCAAGTATATGCCCTCGGAATTGCATCACTGTATATCCAACGTGCAACGATGGCTTTTGCGCCATGCCATCACGATCCTTCTTCGATACTCTGGTGATGATGATTATATGTGGGGTAGATATTTGGCTAGACACTATCTTATCCTCTTTAATCTTCCTTGTTTATTTCTCGTAAGGACATCGCTCAGCGACTGCACGCAGTGAGCGTAAGCCTGGCGTGTGTATGTGCACAAGACTCAATTTATCTTTGTTTCACAGAGCAGCAGTCACTCAAGGCGCTCATTATAGATGGGTGCATGCTTAACTCTTACGAAACAAACATTCGTTCTCGCCGTACACAGCACATAATAATCTGGAGTTTCAGAACTGGTCTCCTCTTCACTCGAGCCAACCGAACATGAAGACTGTCCTCCCTGTCCTTGCTCCTTCAATCCTCCTCCTCCCCCTCCTGTCTTAAAGGAGCCCAGCAACACTTTTTGGTTTATTTATTATTTATTCATAATACCTCAAAAGTCCCACATGGGACATTCAATGTGGGGTGGGTGAACAAAAAAACTGGCGGGTCAGGTTAGGTTTCATGACTTGAAAGATGGTCTTCAATGGCAGCTTTGAATTGAGCAATGTCGGTGATGAGGGCGATATCGAATGGAAGGGCATTCGATTCTCTGGCAGTATGCAGGGAAAATGAACGTTGGTAGGTGGCCATATGTGCACGTGGTAGATACACAGCATTTTGGATGGTTGATTGATTGATTGATTGATTGATTGATTGATTGATTGATTGATTGATATGTTGTGTTTAACGTCCGAAAACCACTATATGATTATGAGGGACGCCGTAGTGGAGGGCTCCGGAAATTTCCACCACCTGGGGTTCTTCAATGTGCACCCCAATCTGAGCACACGGGCCTACAACATTTCCGATGGAGGCGGAAATGCAGCCGCCGCAGCCGGGATCTGAACCCGCGACCTGTGGGTCAGCAGCCGAGTACCTTAGCTACTAGACTACCGCGGCGGGGCACAGCATTTTGGTACGAGTGGCGAGAGGAACGATGTGCAGGAATTATGATTTGGTTTCCTGGAGGCAGAGAATGAAAAAACCTAAAAAAATAGTATTAGACGATAAGTTTTGCGGCGAGAAGAAAGTGAGAAGAGGCAGAGCTGGGATTTTAGGGCGGATACACTTAAACTATAAGAATAATCGGAAAGAATGAACCTGGCAGCGCGGTTCTGGACTGATTTGAGTGAATTGCTTATATTAACTTTAAAGGCCAGAAAACGCTGCCGATCGGTAGTATAGAGGCTCACGACAACACGCGAGCCAAATAGTATAGCGCTGCACGCGGCCTGGAATTCACAGTAAAATATCATGTCAGCTAAAAAAATAGCTTTCACTTCTCTCGACAAATCGCGAAAAATAAGCCCAGTAAGACCGTCTGTCAGTCATTGGCTGACTTGAATATGGCGCGCTCCATTGTTACAGAGGTCGCCGCGAGAGGCCGTCAATTATCCACGCGCGCACACGTGATCGCACTGAAAAAGCCACGCATTCGAAGAAAAAACGAAAAAAAATTGCTCAAGGTCACGAGGTGCAAGGGACGTTTTTTTGTTTGCCCCTCCCATCCCTCCCTGCTCAGCTTCCAGCGGCCCCGCCACGGTGGTCTAGGGGCTAAGGTACTCGGCTGCTGACCCGCAGGTCGCGGGTTCAAATCCTGGCTGCGTCGGCTGCATTTCCGATGGAGGCGGAAATGTTGTAGGCCCGTGTGCTCAGATTTGGGTGCACGTTAAAAACGCCAAGTGGTCGAAATTTCCGGAGCCCTCTACTACGGCGTCTCTCATAATCATACGGTTTCGACCGGTGGACCGGTCTATTCATATATATTGATTTGATGGCGCACTTTACCGGAAAAAGAATCTAACGAACACTTTGTCGAGACGTAGTGTAATTGGCATAGAAAGATTTTTTGAGTAACGACTTCATTCAAATATATGTCCCCGGAATTGCATTACTGTGTATCCAACGTGCAACGGTGGCTTTTGCGCGATGCCATCACGATCCTTCATCGATACTTTGATCATGATGATTATATGTGGGGTTTAACGTCCCAAAACATCACATGATTATGAGAGACGTCGTAGTGGAGGGCTCCAGAAATTTCGACCACCGCGGTCCATAGGACGTGTGCTGCATGTCTTGTCTCCGTCCTCATGCTGTCCCATATAATTCGCAATGAACCCTAACCAACTTGACCACATTTCCGTTATTCTGAAGGAAACACCGTTTTAAGTGGGGAGCACTGTATAGGGACCTGTGCTGCCGTTTGCTGTCATCGTCCCAGGAAGATCTGCGTAACGCTGGCAAAAACCCGTATTGGCCTCGAGGACATACCGTGGCGCCACCTACGTTATGACGTCACTCATAGGGTTCCGGGCTATGTTGTCTCCTAGAACACAGCACTTCCTGCGCTTTTCTTGTGGACGCCGCGCATTCTTCCTTTTGTTTTGAAGTTCAGCGTTTAAAGAAGTGGTAAGACCTGATAATGCGGGCAAGCAAACTATGAATCGGTGTCCCCGGTGGCACTATCGTGTCTAATTTGAATCGTAAAATCACGACTAAGAACAGTGCAGCCATGGGGGACGATGCAGGTGGTGTCGCGAAAGCAAAGCGGTCGTATTCTACAACTACGCATGTTATCTGTCACGTCAAAATGGTCACAGCGCTGGACTCTCTAGTGGACGTCCTCGCGGCCAATAGCATAGCCATCTGTGGTATACTGAGGGCATGCTCGCCCGGACGAGTAGTTGTAGTAGTAGTAGAAAACTTCATTACGTACATAATCTAGACAGGCTAGAACTCCAGTGCCCCGAGGAATATACAGGGTGAAGAGCGAGGTCTGTCTGACAGGGCGGTGCCCCTATTCCAGGGCCCCACTGGCACGAGCCATCTGTTAAGTGTGGCAGCTTGGGCTAGTTGGTATGGCATGACGATAGTTATAGCGCGAGAACAAAACGACGACACAGAGACAAGAAGGACACGAAAGACACGAGCGCTCGTGTCTTTCGTGTCCTTCTTGTCTCTGTGTCGTCGTTTTGTTCTCGCGTTATAACTATCGTCATGCCATCTGTTAAGCTCTGCGAATGCGCCCCAGCTGATCCATCAGGGCTGGGCTATAGACCGCAGCGCCTCCCATTCCTCCTATGTGCCATTGGTGTCATGTTCTTTGTCCTGCTCTGCACACTCCCACATGATGTGAAATAGTGTTGGGGTGGCTTCGCACCACGGGCATATATCTCTGTACGCCGTGGGGTAGATCAGGTGAAGAGTGTGCACATTTATGTAAGTGTTAGTCTGTATTCTTCTTAGCGCTGTTGCCTCCGCAGCGCTGAGCTTGATATGAAGACGCGGATACAGCTGCCTATTTT